AGTCTACGCTGCGTATATGAGCACGAATACTACATTTGAGTCGGAATTTCAAGCGACATCTGAAGACTGAGTTCATTTCTCGTCATCACCTCCGGAGCGAGAGGCTCTGGTAATAAAATAAACAAGATTTCTCGCAGCAACGCGCCGAGGAAAAATGCATATTTTTAAAATAATGAGATCCCTTCTCTTTGTAGCTTTAAACGAAACATATCCTTGAAGTTTATCTTAAACATGCGATTCTTCTTGCTCTTGTTATTGAGTGTGTCTAATAAGCTCGTTTTGTAAGAGGTTTGTTTCATACAAAACCGAGCAGGTGTGTGTACTGCATCATGTACAAGTGTGGCATGCATTGCACCCACTATTCTAGAGAGGAAGGAAAGAAGTGGACATAGAACACCGAGAAAGTATCCATTTTGTATACCAAATATGTGGTCCATTCTTGCACCAGACACCGAGCATCTTAGAGAGATGTTGCGGTCCAACAAAAGGAATCTGTACATCAGTTGTCGCCGAGGCAGGCATAGAATGTGTCCCAGGATATTGTGCTGCAAGTGTTTGCATTTACGTTGCCATGGTATGTGATCCACGTACGGCAGCTCGCGTCGCAGTTCTATCTTAGAACGCTGCCGCTCTCTGGGTCATTGGTTGTGCATCTTGGGCCACTCGCAGTGTATTGTTCCGCGGAAAAATATTCAGGAGACGTTATGTGTGTGCTGCATCTCTTAACATGACAGCCCTTATGCATTATTTTGCCGTGATGTATTTGGGGTGTACATAAGGATGATGTATCTTATGGACGTGATGTGTTTCTCAGCGGTAAGGAATTCAACATATGTCACGTACACATCATGGGTCTGGTTAGGTTCTTATGAATTATTTAAGAGGAAGGCATTCTTGGGCCTGCACCTGGATTATCTTTGCAGCGAACCTCGTGTGTTGTTTAGTACTATTCTCGTTTCACCTGAGAAGTCGTCTTATAAAATTTGTCTTATTCTCGAAATAAATATTATTTTGACTTAATTCATTTAAATAAGAAGAAAATTTGCGCCATTTTTAAAAAATATTTGCAATAATTCATCCCACTTAATAAAAAACAAAATGCTTAGAATTCACAATTTTTTAATTCTAATAATATTTTTTCGACGTTTTGCGTAATTTCCTCGTGATAAGAAATAAATATTACGTTTTATATATATCAAATATATATTACGTCACATGAAGTTTACTACGTCACAGCTACGTGGAATCTTATCGAGACGTTACCCGAAGCGACGTTTGTATAACCGAGACTTACGTCCAACGATTTTCTGTTGTTGGCCGGCAAAAGCAAAAGAAATCCAGGACGTCTCTTGCAATCTGTACACATTTTCTTGTGCACCGATAACCTAGGGAAACGAAGCCATGTTTACGAAGGGCCTTTGGGTTGCCCTTAGGGGGAGACCGCGCTCGATGTCTGCGAGGAATCACTTACCTGAGATCAAATAAAACTTACCTCGCATTACCAAGGGGGCTGGCTTGCTGGTCATGTTCACTGCCTTACCTTACCTTGCCTTGCCTTGCCTTACCTTGCCGGGGGTTGGCTTGCAGGTCATGTTCACTGCCTTGCCTTGCCTTGCCGGGGGGCTGGCTTGCTGGTCATGTTCACTGCCTTGCCTTGCTGGGGACTGACTTGGTGGTCATGTTCACTGTCTTGCCTTACCTTGCCGGGGGCCATCATGAATATATTCATGTAGAAATATTTGGTTATCATGAATATATAGAATTATGTATATAAAGAATTCATGAATGGCCTCATGAATATCCTCATGTAGAAATATTTGGTGCACATGAAGTTTCTTAACACTTGCGAAGGAAGCGAAACTATCACTGTTTATTAAAAATAATGGTTATCGTATTATATATGAAAACAAAAAGGCTTGTCTATGTTGAGTTATAGACAGGCAGCATGCCTGCATGTTTCAATAACGGCATGATTCAAACATGTCAATCATGGCATCTATGAGAATTCGATCTACCAATTATAATAAATATACTGTTGTTTTTTATATTTATTTTCCGATCACTCGCTCCTTGTGAGATCTATCATGATCCTAGGTAATGGATTTTTATTATCCTGGATAGTATCTTTTATGATCCTTTGTTAAAGATCTTTCCAATTTATTGCGGAGCAATCATTTCACACCCCCGACTAGTAAATGTTAGAAATTCAGCGTAAAAAGATTCCAATCGTCATTTCTATGGATAGCTCAAAGAATTAAAGTCGTTGTAAGTCTGCGTGTGTAATCACAATCTTTTATTTCTCATTAATTGAAACTGATTTTAAAATACCATTGTACAACACGGAAAAAAATTTTGTCAAATACGGAACTAAGGATTGCTACGGAATGCTACGAATTGCTACGGAATGCCGCGGATTGCTACGGAACTAAGGGACACCTTCCATGTGCAACAGGCCTTAACAATAATTACAGCTACCAGATCCCAGATTTCAGCTTCCGATTAATTACTAGACATTCTTGTTGTTCCTGTCCACAAATGTTCTAAGAACCGCTCTCATTTTAACTACCCATCAAGATATTAACTTCCTTCCATGTAGCAAGCTCCAGCCTGGCAGTAACTGCCCTCCATGTAGCAAGCTCCAGCCTGGCAGTAACTGCCCTACATGTGGAAAGCTTCAGCCTGGCAGTAACTGCCCTCCATGTAGCAAGCTTCAGCCTGGCAGTAACTGCCCTACACATGTAGCAAGCTTCAGCCTGACAGGAACTGCCCTACATGTAGCAAGCTTCAGCCTGGCTGTAACTGCCCTCCATGTAGCAAGCTACAGCCTGGCAGTAACTGCCCTATATGTAGCAAGCTTCAGCCTGGCAGTAACTGCATTCCATGAAGCAAGCTTCAGCCAGGCAGTAACTGCCCTCCATGTAGCTAGCTGCAGCCTGGCAGTAACTACTTTCCATGTAGCAAGCTTCAGCCTGTCAGTAACTGCCCTCCATGTAGCAAGCTTCAGCCTGGCAGTAACTGCCCTCCATGTAGCAAGCTGTAGCATGGCAGTAACTGCAAGTTTTGCAGCAGTCCTCGCTACTGCTGTCGCAATAGCTCGTAAAGGCCCGTCAAGGGCCCCATGCTGAGCCATGCTGGTGCCATGCTGCCCATGAGGCATGTGCACTCAAATAAATAAGTAAGACATTGCCCACATATACACGTACTGTTGCCCATTTATAAGTCATTCTGACCATGTTCGGCCTGATTAAAGGGCATATCAGTGCTACGTAAGCTCTCTGTAAGTGTTACGGTTAGGAAGTGAGTCACTATTTTGATAGAATGACACATTTATTTTCTTGTGTGTATGTGTCCCAGAGTCTTATTGGAGCTGAAAATGTGTCCTCAGCACCGACATTCTGCCGCTGTCTGAGACGCGAGAAATAATGCAAGGCGTCGCTTCTAATGTGATGTATGTTGTACAGAGCTGAAATAACGTGACCTGAACTTATTATTTTACAGTAGATGCAGGACAAAAAAATTCCCTTTAAATAAAAAAAAACTGACCCAATTTTCAGCCAGTGTATCATGTGCGAGAAATAATGCAAGGCGTCGCGTCTAATGTGATGTATGTTGTACAGTACAGAACTGGAATAACGTGACATGAAATTATTACTGCAAAGTAGATGCAGGACAACAAATTTTCCTTTAAATAAAAAAACTGACCCAATTTTCAGCCAGTGTATCATGTGCGAGAAATAATGCAAGGCGTCGCTTCTAATGTGATGTATGTAGTACAGTACAGAGCTGGAATAACGTGATCTGAACTTATTATTTTACAGTAGATGCAGGACAACAAAATTCCCATTAAATAAAAAGTACTCAATTTATTACTGTAAAGTAGATGTAAGAGTAAAAATTTCCCTTTAGATAAAAAAAGCTGACCCAATTTTTAGCCGGTGTATTATATGCGAGAAATACTTCACATAACTTGCTATGGTAGCAGAGATGTGAAATGCTGTGTTTTGTATGGTAAACAACCGGCAGGAAGTAAAAGCAGCGACCCCCGACGTTATCGTAGGAACGAAACTGGAAATCTTTGCCGCTGCTTCTCTGTCCATCTCTAAGTGAAGCCGAAACACGGAATATTCCGCATCTCTAAGTGAAGCTGAAACGCGGAATGTTCGGCATCTCTAAGTGAAGCTGAAACGCGGAATGTTCGGCATCTCTAAGTGAAGCTGAAACGCGGAATGTTCCGCATCTCTAAGTGAAGCTGAAACGCGGAATATTCTAGCGTAGAATGACTGAAAGAACGTAAATGCAACAGACTTTCCTTCTTTTCACTGAGAGCAGCAACGTTTTAATGCATTACTGTCTGGCTAATGCAATACATCTTATTTTATTCCGGAAAAATAAGGCTTCCTGTAGAAGCAAGAATCCATCACTCAGAAAAATAAGTAAGACTTTATCCAAAAACTATGCATTTTATCGCCTATATGGGTCAGTCTGACCCAGTTATGTAAGATAAAAGGTCGTATCAGTGATATATGTATCTGTCCACTGCTCGTACTGTAGGTAAGAAAGTGTCACTATTTAGACAATGTGATGCTTGCACTGGTTTGAGTGAATGCTGTACGCTCAGGAACAAATATTTTTTCTTTTGTTTAGTGCCAGGAATTAAGTACAAATAATTCATCCTGATGTATTCCGAATTATACACCTGAAAACAACGTAATATTTTCGACATAAATCATATTTATTTCCATGTTGAATTGTGTGTTATATAAGAGTCGCTTAGTTTTTACCTCATGCAATTATTTTTTGGCTGCGGCTAATAAAATATTCATTTTATTTAAGGAAAATAGTTTCTTAAGCTCGTGCATGAGTCTCAATTCACTTGCCAGTTTGAAGCTATCGAGAGCCGCGACAAACGAGAAGCTTAAGAAAATTTAAGGTTCGCTCCTTAATTGATGAGCCTGCTCTGCAATAATCGTTTCTTTTTTTTCTTTACAGGAGACAAATTTCTTCAGGGGAAGATCCCAGCCTCTGAAGATCATCTCTCTTCGAGGTTTCTTCCTCTATCGAAAAACATTCAATCGGCTGCCAAAAACCCTCAACGATTTCCTCAGCGACTATTCTCAACATATCCCGAGAAAAGAAAAGAGAAACTGCAAGCGAAAAACGTAGCGACGGCACCCACGAAAATAAAAGACATAAATGACTTTGCGGAGAAGAAAAGCAAATCTTATGGGATTACAGATAAATTTATTATAACGCAATTCAGACTAAACGAAAATAACGGAAACTCTTCGAATGACAACAAACCAAACAATTGTGGTCGAAATTGTTTTGATTTATTAGATGGAACGTCAACGTTAAACATTGTTACCGATATTCCAAAAGTTTTATTTCGCACCTCCAGGTTTAGCTCTAAGAACTCCGCTGCTTTTGAACTCATTCCCAGGAGTGCGGGGATGAATCACCCGAGCCGAAGACGACGTAGAAATCTAGATTTTCGGAGTGAAAATTATAAAAGGAAACTCGGCTTTGACCAAAGTCACCCCGATCTAATTCCCGGGAAATCCTTCCCTAAAAGCTTTCCTGGACCGACAAAGAATAAAATGGATCCGCAGTTCGACGCGAATCGCAGAAAAATATTTCCTTCCACAGAAAAATATCAAGGACCCAATTTAGATTCTTTGACTAAAAAACGAACGATAACCAAGCGATACACATCAATAGCGGGCAGACAATCTGAGCTAAATCAATTCCAGGAAGATCAATTCCCGCCTTACGTAAACCCAGGCCTGGAATCCATTTCATCCTCGAGTTCCGCCGCTTTGAGCCTATCGCCAGGCACGGGCTTGTCTTTGAGGCAACAGCCTAGCATTTACCAAACCTCACAATTTCCCGCTACTTCTGCTGGCCTGGATATTATTCGACCTTCAGCTGGACGGTCAGTCGTCATGAGCGGAGTGGACGGTCTTAGATGGACTGCAAAACCGCCTCGTAAAGTCCTCTTCAGCAACTCCAGCGGAGGGATGGTGGACTGCGCCGTGGACGGCTCACAGCTTCCAGTGTCAATTCAGTGGGCTTTTGAAGACGGCAGAAGTGTCGTGCCCGTGAGTAATTCTACTATTATTATAACTGGAAATAAACATTCAGTTGTAGCATAATATTTTCAATGCGGAAATTCATTCAAAATTTATATTGGTACGGTAGACTTTTTACTTCCAAAGCTTTTGAGTATTTTGAGTCTCAGCGGTACAGAGAACGAAGGTTGACAGCCAGCACAATCGTCCGACCAGCAGGCATTCATTAAATGATGAGAACATCATGCATGCGAACCAGAGCTTATACATGTTTGTGACCCATCGACTCAATTACGCATATTTATTATTTATTCATATTTATTCGATACTTTTAGCTAATAATTAAATTTCATTCAATTAAAACACTCGACTCCAGAAAAGGGATCTTCATCTTTAAAATTTTATTTAAAAAAAATCGAACGTGCAAATTAAGATATTGAATTCATTTTCGCAACAGTTTTTTATTAATAATGAAATTTGATTTGACATTTATTGCAGCCATCAATGTACACTACAACATAGATTCATACATTATGGGGATTAACAATCTCAATTCCAGTCAAATATAGCTTCAGTGCTGTAAATATCCTTTTCCATGAACTCTGATTCCCTTCTTCAAGTTTCAAAGCTATGGTAAAGTTGGTTTCAATCAAAAAATAATCTTTCTTGATTGAAGAAGATATTTATCGAGCACCATGTAATAATTATAACATTTTGTAATAATTATTATAAGCAAATCAGGGCACATGAGACGATGTTATCAGTGGACAAGTTCTGTTTGGGACTAGGTGGAAAATTTTCATCCTGCTCATCGGCCTAATTTATAGCCTTTTGTAAAAGCTGTTAACCTGATATCTTATCATAGATTTGGTCATGCTTTTATCAGGAATTACGTTGCCGAAACTTTTGTAGGAGTGAAAAATATTTTAAGCGACTTTGAAAAAACAACGAACACAAAAATTGGAAAAACCTAATCATTTATAAAACTTGATCATCCATTTGACGTTTAATTAACTCACTGTTAAATAAAAAATTATCTCATTATTTAGGACACTAATCTGCATTTATAAAAAATTATAAAAAATTTCATATCGAAAACTTCAAACACTAGTTTAAATGTTATTAATAAGCCAAACATTAAGATTATCCTCGCATTATAATCGAATCTTCATTGTTTCAGAATTAACTCAAATTCATATTCAGTTCTACATAAATTTACCAAAACTTTAGATGCGTTCATCGAATTTTTTATGGACGACCCGACAATATTCATTAGCAATAGCGGAAATTAGCTGATGCATAATACAGTAGAAATAAAACACGTCCGCTGGCTCCTGTCTCGATGCAGAACTGTCGCAAGTTCTTCAATATTTTAATTAAATGTTAGTTGGACGCTAATTACTTGTGCGACATTGAGACCCGCTGAGAAATGTGCGTCTCATGGCCATTGATTAGGGAATATTGGATAACAACGGCTGAGATTTGTATTAAAAGAACGATAAAAATTATATATACCATCAGTCCGCTTAAAAAGCAAGTCAACGAATAATTTAAAAGTGTAAATTTGTTGGATGCGAGTGAGAACAAAATAGTTATTCAGATGGCCATGAAAAACGATGAGGTGGATATGCAACGGAAATAAAAAAAACACCTACGGATTGAAATGATTAATCCTTAAATGTAACGACTAACGATGCAGAGAAGTGACTGATGATGCGAAAAGAGTCCGTTTATGACTGAAAATATTATATCAAAAGATATTTATAAATCAAAAAGGTTATTTGATTTATAGCAGTTGCTTGAGATTATGACAAATTCCTCAACATTCAGGAAAATGTCTAACATTAGAAAGACATGACTGCCGATGGGACTGCTTAAAATTAAACGCAGAAATCGAAATAATTTTAATTGAGTCATGAATTTCTCCATCGGATGTAGAGATCAATTGCTGATTAAATGCTCTCTTAATATTTTCGCAATAGTGATTCACAATTGTTATATTCGAATTATTTTATTATATATTCAATACTGTTAATTATTATTAACCCTCATGAAACTGCGTCGTGCTTGGCTGCATAATGCGCCTCATGATTATGAAGCTAATTGTCTATCGATTCATGAAACACGAAACTCAAGCCAGCCAGTCTCGTTATCTACTATCATGCAAATTTCATTTATAATCATGCAACCATAATATTACTTGCTCGTGGTACTAATTTTTGTTTTTTATAGATTATTGTGTTTGAGAATAGAAATACTCCTATACCAACCCATCTGTTAGTGTTCTGTTTTGTTAAATTAAGTTTGATGGACAACTATGTTTAACGATGCATAGAAAAATTAAATCTGCAAAATTAGGATTTTAAATTTATATTTTGTATTTTAGCGAGAATGGAAAGAATTTTCCATCACCCCAGGAATTTCTACGTCGGGATGTACAGAAAAGCGATGTTATAGATTAATTGTTGATATAATGCTCACTTAATATTTTCGTAATTGTTATTCACAATTATTATATTCGAAAGCTTGAAACACAAATGTTAATTATTTTTTGTCCTCATGAAACTGCATCGTGCGTGGCTGCATAATGTGCCTAACGACTATGAAGCTAATTGTCTATTGATTTACGAAACACGAAACTCATGCCAGCCAGTCTCGACATCTGCAATATCATTCAAATTTCATTTATAATCATGCCACCGTAATATTACTAGTTCGTGGTACAAATTTTTGTTCTGTATAGATTATTGTGTTTGAGATTAGAAATACTCCTATAACAACCCATCTGTTAGTGTTCTGTTTTGTTCAATTAAGTTTGACGGACAACTATATTTTGCGATGCATAGAAAAATTAAATCTCCAAAACTAAGATTTTAAATTTATATTTTGTATTTTAGCGAGAATGGAAAGAATTTTCCATCACCCCAGGGTCTAGCGAGCTGCTAGAGCACTAGATGGAGGGCCTTTAACGCGAGGTCATCCATTTACGTCACTTGTAGCGGTTTCGTTCATGATTTTGAATTAATGTCATAAAACATATAGAAATTTAGAAGTAGATGAATTGATCGATTTGAACTTGTGAACTTTAGACGCTTTACACTTGCCAATGCTGAAAATTCTTGTTAACTGTTATGAACGCCCTACCATACAATAATTACTAGCTTATTCGAATCCATATTTATCGATGCTTTTATGAATTTTTCTTAGCTCATCTTTACTTTTCTTAATTTGTTCATAATTATTTTTCTTTCATAATTAACAGTCATACTTATGAACTAAGCAAATGCTTCTGGCTAGAAATGAGTTTCGCAAGGATATGACATAGTCGACAGGAAAGATTCAATTTATACTATCCTTGTTGCGAGGTCCTTATTTACGGTCGCGAATCAATTGCCTTAATCGTTTCTATCCTTTCAAGAGTTAAAAATTTTACGATCATTAACGGCTCTTATGGAGTGGTTGCCACGTGTTAACCGCGGCGGCATGTGCGTCACGACATAAATATGGGAGGATTATTCTGTTATCCAGAGGAAAATTAAGATTTGTTCAAGGGGTATTTCCGACGTTAAAAAAATCAAAACTTACCCTAAAAATTTACCATGTAAATAAAATAAACATCATTATTTCAGTCACGACAACTATCGTATAACATCACCAACGTCTGTCTCTGTTTGTGGTAATGTCGCTCTGAATAACGGCTGAGGTTTAGCGAGCCATAAAATTTGTTCGAATTTCAATAAATAACTTGGTTACTCAGTAATGATCAGTAAAGAAAAGTATGACTGAAATGAGGCCTGGTTTATACCTCTGTTGACGAGTATAGTGGCAGCAATGCTTGCAATATTTCTCTGTAATTTTTGTTTGGAGTGCTTCTGAAGCTCCTAGTATTTTTCATTCCACTGGAGACGATTGGAACTGGGAATTCATATTGAATAATTTATTTAAATCGCCTCACCAAAACAAGTACTGAAAATTTAATTGAGCTTCCAGCGATGAATTTTTTGGCGTCGATGTTATTGGTGACAACGATGAGAAGAGTAGACTATAAAGACTGGCATGATAGAGTGCGACTGGCGCCATACGCTTTACAGTGTGCCAGATCATTAAATTATAGTAAATCATTACCATGAATACATATCAGCTGAATATCATGAGTGACAGGACATGCGGTAAGATTCCTCGTTCTCTTACTCCGAGGGACATTAATATTTTTCGCCATCCCTCACGTTATACCTTTTAAGAAAACAAAGAATCCCATTTCAATTATATGATTCGTCTCTCTAAATCACAGATACAAAAGTTTTGGAACTTTAATGATCATCGGCGTGAGATAGGTAAGTGTATACATGACAAACAAAATATTTGGAGCATCCATTCAGTAAAAGGACTGAGAATAACTTTGTGTTTACTAATTACTGCTGTGAGTAGGGTGATATTTATCCGGATTTGGTTGTAAAGGAATTCAATGATCAATTTATCCATAGTAGACGTATCACCGCTGAGCTCCAGATTACACATTGAGCTTGAATTAAACTTAAAAGTTTTCCTCCCGTTTTTGCATTTACACTTTTTATTCATTTACGCTCTATATGTAAATATATGATGGCGTATATAAAAATACCTCTCTGTGATAGCCTAACGTATTGCATAACACTTGGAATACTTTTCTGAAAATGACAATACGCAAGATTTTGTTTTTAGCTCATATGCAATGGTTGGCATAACATTCATATCGAGACTGGAAATAAATTTTATATTGCCTTACCATTTGAATGCCTCAAAACAGCAAATAAATAACTAGATAATCTAAAGCTGAGCTCCTACATTTTTATCTCTGGAAGCTCCAACCTTTGAGGGTTGTTGAATAATCCATCACTCGTAAGTCCTTTACAAATGTTCTGCACTCGGCAAGTGCTTTGTGGCAACGAACAATACGAATTCCCGGTAAATCGTCCTTGCAAATAACAAGATTATTTCAAATCGTGTAAAATAATAGCATATATCCTTCAATAAAAAACTCTAATTTATTCTCTTCTCTACAATATCAGTTTAATCCTCGGCATTAATTTTTTTCCAGAAAAATATTACGTATTAAATATACACGGTCTTGAATGCACTATTAAAGCTATGTAAGGTTGCGCCGTGTAAGAAATTGAGGTTAAGCTGCAAATAATGATGCAAAAAAATTTAATTCCCCAGTGTAGTGAGTGCGTGCTCGAAAAATTACCTAATTCTTATAATATATTCAAAAGGAATATGTTTAAAGAATATTTAAAGTTGCATATGCGTTGAAACGTTCAATGATGTAAGGGAACGTCCTGTGAAAGGGCCTATACATGACGTCGAAAGATGTAAAATGAATGTGAATTCATTGAGTAAACTTTTTGCATTAATTATTTTTTGAATAATGAACCTAAAGAGAATAAACATATGAAAATAAGCTTTAGAACAATATTAAAATATAATATAAAAGACATCTTAGTGAATGCCCATGAAACCCAACAAGCTACACCAGCCATTAAAAGCTGCATTTAACTCGAGTAAATAACATTCCAGTTATTTATTTAGTTATTATATTATCATTATCATGAACTCGCACTAACAAAAACCGAAAAGAACAAGTTATTATGTCATAATATCTCTTATTAATCTACCCTCGGATAAAGATGATACAAGCAATTCACAAAAAATAGATATAAAACAATAACTTCAAAGTGACGCCGTAAAAAACTGCATTCAACTAGAAACAAAATGTCCGAGGAAACCAATTTTATGTTAATTATAAATAAATACGCGAAAGTGTGAGTTAAAAAATGAAATTTGTCTCCAAAACAACTTCAGAACAAATTATGCTGAAGCATTATGATCAATCATTAAAAAATTTTACATGATTAAAATTTTTACCACTATTCTTAATTTGTAACGCGAAAGATTTAAGTAAAACTTTTGCGAGTATAAGTCCTATATATTTTAGGCCTTGGTAATGCTAGGAATATTGTTGACATATACCATATACCATATACCTTATACCATGTACCATATACCATATACCATATACCTCATACCATATACAATATACCATATATCATATACCATATACCATATACCATATACCATATACCATATACCATATACCTTATACCATATACCATATACTATATACCTTAGCTTATACCATTTACCATATACCTTCGTGTCTGACCCTTGAGCACTGGCCTAAACCACTTAAAAACTAACAAGATGACCGGTTTCTTGTAAATAAAACGTACGTCAGGCCATATTCCTATGATTTTCGAAGATCTAGAGAAGGAAAATAATCAAAATCTGTGATTGAGGAGCGATGTAAAATACTTTTTAGAACTTATAACACACAATGTGCTTTACTCGAACAGCACAAATGCTAAAAAATCGCTCGTTGATGGAAATACGCATTTTACGTGGATATCTAAATCATAAAACGATTCTAAAATAGTTATTGGACTTATAACACACATCTTACGTGGATATTTAAATCATCAACCATTCTAAAATTGCACTCAGGAGCCCAATTAAGTGATCATTCATGAAGAAATTTTCAGAAAATTATCTGGAACTATCACTGATTTTTCGATTTTCACGTATATAAATTTCACGTTTTCACGTATATTTACTTGAATATTTCGTCTTGCATTTCTTGGACCTGATAAAATGACAGGAATACTGATAAGAAAAACTGATGAAATGATAGACTTTCATCGTTTCCGCGCGACAATTTGTGCATTTCCAAACGCCCTTGACCAAAAACTTTTATTCTGAAGGTTTTGGACTCCCAGAAGTCCACTTTTGGACTGAACTTTAGGAGTTGCTATCGACGAAGAAACTCACGCACAAAGAAGTTCTCCTTTCGTGTTTTTTGCACGGAAGTGGACCGAGTTTGTAAAGTTTGTAGACGTTTTTATTGCACTTCATTGCTGGCAGTTAGAAGCAGCAGATGCTAGCGCATGTTGATACGGTTCGTTGCTTTCCATGTCCTCCCACACACCCACAGCACTTATCATCACATATCCATCATTAATATCGATATCCCTTGTATAATATTCGTCCTTGCCATCCATCATTGCTATCCATCATTGCTATCCATAATTGCTATCCATCATTTCTGTCCATCAGTGTTATCCATCATTGCTATCCATCATTGCTATCCATCATTGCTAGCCATCATTGCTATCCATCATTGCCATCCATCATTGCTATCCATCATTGCCATCCATCATTGCTATCCATCATTGCTATCCATCATTTCTATCCATCATTTTTATCCATCATTGCTATACATCATTGCTATCAATCATTGCTATCCATCATTTCTATCCATCATCGCTTTCCATCATTGCAATCCATCATTGCTATCCATCATCACAATCCATTATTCTATCCATCATTGCTATCCATCATTGCTATCCATCATTGCTATCCATCATTGTTACCATCATTACTAGCCATCATTGCTATCCATCATTGCTATCCATCATTGCTATCCATCATTGCTATCCATCATTGTTACCATCATTACTAGCCATCATTGCTATCCATCATTGATATCCATCATTGCTATCCATCATTGCTATCCATCATTGCTATCCATCATTGCTATCCATCATTGCCATCCATCATTGCTATCAATCATTGCTATCCATCATTGCTATTCATCATAGCTATCCATCATTTCTATCCATCATTGCTATTCCATCAATGCTATCCATCTGCGCAATCCATTATTCTATTTATCATTGCTATTCATCATTGCTATCCATCATTGCTATCCATCATTGCCATCCATCATTGCTATTCATCATTGCTATCCATCATTGCTATCCATCATTGCTATTCATCATTGCTATCCATCATTGCTATCCATCATTGCTATCCATCATTGCTCTCCGTCATTGCTATCCATCATTGCTATCCATCATTTCTATCCATAATCGCTTTCCATCATTGAAATCCATCATTGCTATCCATCATATTCATCATTGTTATCCATCTTATCCATCATTTCTACCCATCATTACTATCCATCGTTACTATCCATCATTGGTATCCATCATTACTATCCATCATTGCTATCCATCATTACTATCCATTATTGCCATCCATTATTGCTATCCATCACATCCGTCATTTCTATCCATCTTTGTTATCCATCATCGCTATCCATTTCTGCCCATCACTGCTATCCATCATTTCTATCCCTCATTTTTATCCCTTAGTACTATCCATCATTTCTATCCCTCATTTATACCCCTCATTTTTATCCCTCATTTCTATCCCTTAATTCTATCCATCATTTCTACCCCTCATTTTTATCCCTCATTTCTATCCCTTAATTCTATCCCTCATTGCTATCCATCATTGCTACCATCATATCCATCATTTCTATCCATCATTTATTGGATAGAAAATAATTTTTGTCCATCCATATATTTCTATCAATTTCTATCCTTCATTTCTACTCATCATTTCTATCCCTAATTTCTATCCATCACTTCTACCCATCATTGCTATCCATCACCCCCCCCTCCCGCACTCCCCCAGGTGCCCGGGCTGCTAACGGTCCGGGTGAACGGGTCGCTGGAGTTTCTGCCGTTCGCGCCCCCCAGACTGGACCCGTTGCTGCACGACGCGACGTACGTGTGCGTCGTGCGCTCGACCGTCGGTGTGCTTACGTCTCTGCCCGTTACCGTCAGAGCAGGTACGTCCATTACAATGGACCGTTACGTCCATTACAATGGACCGTTACGTCCATTACAATGGACCGTTATGTCCATTATAATGGACCGTTGCGTCCATAACGTCATGGATACGCGACGATAAATTCAACATTTTTCCGTCATTGCGAGGCGGTGAGTCATCAAAATACTTCGTTATTATAATCATTGGTGTGAATTTATTTTAATATATACTTTACTATCATTGTTCATTAAGATAACTACATGAAACTGCTCGTGTAGTTTGGCAGGTAATGCGAGTTTTCTTTTTAACTGTGCTAGATGATGTTTTCTATTGAATTTTTTGCAGACTTTCTTCGACTAAAGGTACCTGTATAGAATATAACACAACATTATACCTATCTTGCGTTTAAATACATAATCTTTCGTATTATCTTGAGTGGACCAGAAATAGCACCGTCCCAGATACGTTCTATTCGTGCGCCCGAATCATAACTGTTGCAATGCCAATAGTAAGCCATCAGCCTCATAGATCACCGCTATAAATCATACCATAGATCACAGTGACTCTTATTGGATATTGATTTAGCAATAACGCTCAGAAATAACGACTTGGTCAGGGACATAATTAAACTGCGACTCTTAGGCTGGCATTTCATTGAATACGTTCACAATACACGGCCTTCAGTGAAGCATAGCATTCATGTCCAGACTGAAAACCATCGCTGAACTATTGCACGTCAAAAATCTTCAATCATAACTTTCGGGAAAGTTTCGTAAACCACAACTTCTACGGAAGCTGAATCAGTAAACCTTTGATATTCAATATCCAGGATATTTCGCTTGGAAACTTCTCGGACGTTTGAGGATTTCATTTTTGATCAAACTTAAAGTTATTTATTTTTCGAATTCGAATAAAACAGAATTCCAGCTCTAAAATTTAACATTTTTACTCTATTCACTCACGAGAAAATATTATTTTGTGTAATTATTATCAACCTCTTCAGTGGAAAGAAGTATTTTTAGGTAGGTACACATTATTTTAAGTATTTATTAGCAACACGTTCAGTGAAAAAAGTATTTTTAGGTATACATTTGGTCAGTATTTACGCACGAAGAACTTTCTTTGTAGCAAGCAGGGAAACAGAGTTCTCGGCTTCTGTACATTTCTTTCACAAACTTTTGTCGCCACTCGAAAGACTTTGCCGCAGTAACTTTTATAAGCCACAGTAAAGCTTCATTACTCCGTCCGGAGAACCTCGCAACTAATGACTAACTTCGGTCCATTTCTATCATGTTAGTTCTACCAGTTACCTGATACGTCGAATCTTGGGGTATTACATCTATGTTATTCCTAGTATTAGCTTTAATATACGTATATTGGTCAATTATTATTTTCAAATTATTATTAATAATAATAAAAATGAATATTTCAACTTATTATTTAAGTTAAAATTGTTAAATATTATTAATTTAATTATTTTAATGCATCTACCTGTGATGCACTTCATTTGTGTTATTTATATATTTATTTTATTATATAATGTGCATAAATGCTTTTGCTTGTGATGTTTTTCATCAATGCCTATTTCTGAAAGCAGCTCTGAGATGCATTGAATACTTATATACCCGCTATTATTTTCCTTTACATTATCTATTCCATTAGTTTCCTTCACATTATTATTTCAGGTCAAGAAAGTTTATGATGAATCATCGTCCATCAGTGCAATTTAATCAAACATTCACAACAGAAAATGGACGTCGATATTCATCAGCCAGTAATTATTTTCAAATAATTTATTCACGTAAAAATTATACAACTTATTTTGGCACAGTTCAGATATAAAATAATGAACTAAAATTTTAATAATATTAGGCTTATCTTATTCGCTATTCCCAGCAGATCAATTCCTCAAAATAACCAATGAATTTAATCTTATGCAAATAAGTTCAAACGCCCGTTTTTCAGAATATATAATTATTCTTCAAACGATGTCCATCAAGATTTAACATATGCAGCTCGCTTCCGCAACTGAATATCAAAACAACTATTTCGCAAAACTTAAAAAAATCTATGATAGCTTCGAATATAATGTATGTAATGTAAGAGAAATTAAATGAACAATGACTTAGTAACTTTGTTCTCACCAAGCGATTTACATCTTTACATTTTTGTACATCTGAGTTTATTATTTATTATTGTATAGTTGTTAACATTAAACATTGTAAACATTAACACACGCGTCACTGCAGAGTAATATTATCATCAGCGTAGCATGTGTCATAAGGAACAATTTTTTTTATCTGGTGACTAGAACCGAGTCCGTAATTATTTAGCAAAAATTTGTTTAAACCGATATGATTTTAATACATTTGTTCAAAATTTACGCATAAACAACTCAGCTCGCGATTCATTTGTGATAATTTTTATAAAAGATAAAAGGTGTTTTAAAATGAATATTTCAAGATCAAGCGAGTTTAGGAAATTTCGTCATTTGAGTTCACGAAAACCAACGTGTCTACTTTGCTACCATGCTGCATATCAGGAAGAATGGTTGATTTGTGTTATTTCAGAAATTATTTTATTTACAGCGTCAGGTTTATATTACATATTTTTGACGGCGATTGAAAAAAATCGGACCGAACATTATGCAGGCAGGTAGAATAAGTAGAATAAAAGTAGAATATTTATTACATTATTTTCGACAAGATTTAGCTCAATTTACATTATTTGAAGGATAATAAATAATTATTCATTATTTTACATCATAGGGAAATTTATTGAGTCTTAATTATTTCACAAGCAGTTCCGGAAATCAAGAGAAGAAAATAATATCCTGAACTATTTTCTGATCGAGCGTATAGCGCCGCCATTAAGGAATGATCGGAGCGAGTTCGTGTTCTATGGCCATAGACTTTAAGGCTGCCTTTAGACGGCCGATTTAATGTCGTATTATCGTGCGATGTCCTTCAGTTATGAAAGTCTTTGTCCGCCTCAATATGGTTCTTAAAATGCGTCCATTGATAAGAATCTGCCGGGACAAAGCTCCATGAAGCCCCTCAATTTTTATGACAAATTTCATTATTGGTGGAGTTTAAAGAAAAAAAATATATAACTCAGTACTCACTGCAGTGAGTGACAGAGAGCGCACTTTCTCGTCGACGAAAACTTGAGGTCACGGACAGACGGACGGACAGACGGACGGACAGACAGACGGACATGGCGAGCACAATAGTGCATTTTTTAAATAAATGAGAAAATGCACTAAAAACGCACTCTGACTCATTTTGACATTTAACTATCAAATCTGAATTCATATTTTTTGACGCACAATTTTTTGTTAAATCCTCTGCCGAATGTTGACTTATAAAATCTCCATGATTTTGAGTTAATGTCTTGTGTACAAATATTCTTTGCTTTTATTATTCTTTATTTATGGACGCAGTAGAAATTTTCCTTGATGAATATTTTTGATAATTGCATAATGGTTAATGTTAGTAAATGGATAATACAAAATTGAGAAATTATCAGGTATGAATAGCATGAGTAAATTGCCTAATAAATTGTTTGTGTTGATTAAATTGTGTTTAGAATGAATATATTTAAATTTAAAGATTAAATTAGATTTTGTTTTAGAATCTTGATCGATTAGCTAATGAGAATTAAATATTTTGCAATACTGATCTTGAAAATTAAATCCTGATTTAATTCTCATGAATTGAGAATTGCTGATTCTTGAGCATCAAATATTTTATAATAGTGATTTATACATTTTCGCATTACTTTAACTGCAAAATTAAACTCCTATCCATTTTTACCAAAATTTCATAACAAAATGAAAGTTTTTCCAATAAAGGAAACAGGTTTCAATAACTAATGCATGAAGAGTTTCCTTATAAAATTAAATAATAAGTGATAATATAATATGATAACATGAATCTAAAATTATATAATAATATTAATATTATATTATATTATTAATTATATCAGTATTATATATTAATAATATATAATATTAAAATAATAATAACGAAATCTATTCCACTGCAGATGGGAAATATCACGTGACGTCAGCAGGAATCCTGCACGTGTTGTCAGTGACTGAAGCTGACACTCGTGCTGCCTTCCAGTGCCGTACCCTCAACATGCAGAGAGTTTTGCTGACAATTTTAGTGCTGCGAGAGTTTTGCTGACAGTTGCAGTGCTGGAGAGTTTTGCTGACAGTTGCAGTGCTGCGAGAGTTTTGCTGACAGTTGTGGTGCTGCGAGAGTTTTGCTGACAATTTTAGTGCTACGAGAGTTTTGCTGACAGTTGCAGTGCTGCGAGAGTTTTGCTGACAGTTGCTGTGCTGCAAGAGTTTTGCTGACAGTTGCAGTGCTACGAGAGTTTGCTGACAATTGCAGTGCTGCGAGAGTTTTGCTGACAGTTGCAGTGCTGTGAGAGTTTTGCTGACAGATGCAGTGCTGCGAGAGTTTTGCTGACAGTTGCAGTGCTGCGAGAGTTTTACTGACAGTTGCAGTGCTGCGAGAGTTTTGCTGACAGTTGCAGTGCTGCGCGTGTTTTGTTGACAATTACTCAACATAATATACGTATAAAAGAGGGTGTTAAAACTGCTGGTTTTTAGACACTGCTGCAGCACGCATTATGCTGACAGGTAAGTCACTGCTGCAGCACGCATTATGCTGACAGGTGAGCAGCTGCTGCACGCATCATGCTGACAGGTAAGCCACTGCTGCAGCTGCACGCGTCATGCTGACAATTCTCGTGTAACAATTCTTTTAATTACTGACAAATTTAGTGCTACAAGAGTTTTGCTGACAGTTTTGTTGCAGCGAGAGTTTTGCTGACAGTTGCAGTGCTGCGAGAGTTTTGCTGACAATTACTAAACATAATATATTTATAAAAGAGGGTGTTAAAACTGCTGGTTTTTAGTAGATGTATTATGCTGCTATGCGTTTGTTAATTTTTGCGTAAAGTTTATATAATTTTTAATAAAGCTGTGAATTTGTAACCCTCGCATGGATTGTACGTACAAATAAAATATTCGGATTTGTATGTTTCGATTTTAAAATACGTTTTTAGAACTGAAAATCCAATTTATCCTTCCCTGTAGATCATCGAACTGGAAAAAACTAAAAAGAACTCGTTTTATCCCATCATATGAAGATCATACTTAAAGCATTCGACTTAATCAGACATGCTCAAAATTAGTCCACGTCATAAAATAAAATACCCAGATTTTTTCAGTGCTTGGCCTTTCAAAGACTCGGGCGGCCGTGCTTCTTTTCCGAGCTGGAATAGGAAAAGTCGATTCCAAAGCGCAAACCGAGAGCGTGCTCGAATTATGAAGCTATCTAATTCGACGATATCTCCCTGCGATTTTGTCTATCGTCAATACTACTTGTTGGGGATTTAAATAATTTACAAATACCGAGTACCGCAGTAACTTGAAATAAGCTAGAAAACTGATCATAGAGGATGCAGCTATATAAGCTTTAGTAGGTGATGATAATTTTCAGAAGACGCAAGTAAAAATTTAAGGATATTCCCTAAAAAAATATGAATCTTTGATGACAAAGTAGGATCATTTGAATGAAGGGCAATTTGAAAAATTACTGTTAACGTTCTAAATTTTTAAACAACAACAATTTTAGTGTAAAACAAGTTTGTTAAAATTAATCTATTTCAGTGGCGTCAACTTGAACACGCGCGTACATCGCGCTTCTACAAGTTTGTAACGTTATTTTTACAGATTACTGCGCGGTTTTACAGATTTTTAGCGCTTCTTTCAAAGGTTTTGCAGGCTTGAGATGTACTATGCACTAACGATATTGTGTTTGCAATCATCTTCACCACCAAATGACATTGATTGGTTTCTGTTTTCGATTGAAGTTCTTAATAGGATTTCCGCTCGATAGAATCCACACAAACTGAACGACTAGCGGGACTGTTTGCTATGCACTGCAGCTTCTGCTGCATGAGCGTCAACATGTCTTCTTGTGGCAACGGACTTCTCTGTAAAATTTGTATTCAATAATTCCTTACAATATTTCTTCAACACCAAAGGTCAATGACATCGTTGTTATTCATCAACAGCGTTCGACATAAAAATTTCTCGGTAATGCAGCTATGCGCAAATAAAATTTTCATTTTCGTTGGAACAAAACTTACACCAGATTGCTCATTAGGATTCCAGCAACATCAATAAATAATTATATTAAGATGTAAATGATTCAGAATTTATTTTCAGATGAACCAAAAATAAATATTTGCATATTTAATTCATATTCCCACCCCTGTTAAAATATGCAGTACAAATTGAATTAATTTCTTTCAGAAGCGACAGCATATTAGAATACTTAATCGCGTAGTATAATACATAATCGAAATTCCCGTATCTCGGAGATCGTAATTCACGAATTAGTTCAGAAATTAGCTATTCATTATTATTGCATAAAAAAACATTTGAAGTATTGCATAAACTAAAACGGAAGATGGATGTTTTATAGCATTTATTCGTGAACTCTAAAAGTTGTTCATTAAAGTCTGTATAAACGGAATTTCCATATGAGTGCCACTGCAGAACGCTATTTATTTTCGTGGGGAAAAAAGCCATTGTCAAAAAGCCAGGAAAATCGCACAGGCCCTACGATGCCAGAGCAAACACAGCAGAGCAACGACTTTGTTGTGCCGCCGGCGGTGGCGCTTATTTCCTACTGTTTCTGTTGGGCCTCAGATTGAGAAATAATTCTGTGTCTAAAATGGGACACTTTAATATTATCAACGAAATAACAGGATCTTATTTCAGTTATACATGTAATGACGGACGCAGAATTTTTTCAACACTATTTATTATTTCTATGAGAACGCCGTGATTCAAAGACAATGTAACTCTGTAGAATAACAAAATATTTTCTTCACCAACTTTGCTTTTTTAGTAGGTTGAGAAAGTTTAATTTTTTTCATATTAATACTATGTAATTGACAGGCTTTTGTTGGCCAAAGAAAAAAACAAAGCAAAAGATCATGCCATCGTATTAGGAATTTTTTTTCTCTTGTATTCAGAAGCTACAATATTTTGCATAAGATGACAACTGTGTTTTTCCTCGACGAGAATGGACCGAGAGGTGATCCACATATCCCTAAGCGAGACGACATCACAAAACGTCAAAGGGATATTTTCTTAGAGTGTTCCTTGAGTGTATCTTGGGATATAGAGTCTCGATTTTTGTTGCTTGTCACTCAGTCATCTGACCTCTTCTTTTATTCTCCTTCTTAGAAAACCTGAAACGCCGACTTCTGATTTTTCGATGACGAGTTCACGCTTGGGAAGGCTCAAAGAAAACCTCGAGGGTCTTTGATACCAAACACATGCGTATTGGCCTGACTTCTCTCTGCTGTAATACAACGCTGCTGTTTTCCTTCAGTTTGGATCCTCAGCTCCTCGGATTGTTTGTGAAGAATCAATCGAGCGAAACGCGCCATTGTTTACTTCTTTTTCCTAATCTTTTTTTTTATTGAAAAATCTGGAAAATAACACTGATAGAAATGAGGTGAACCCAGCAAAAGATTGCTAGAATTTGTTACTACCTAATTTGCTACGGTCTCTCTTTTTACAAGCGTATATGGATACGTATAGACTTCAACCTTTAATAATCTGATCTGATCATCAATCAATTCTCTTGGATGGATCGATGAATTGGATGAGTGGTTTGGTTTCCACGCCCCAAAACTGCCTAAGATTGCATTTAATTTTATTTAACTTTTATTATTATTGCTACACACAAATCTCAAACATGAATTTCGACTACTTAAGAACAGTGCCAAGAAGTGCAGAACTTCTATTGAGTTCATTTCTATTGTTTTCTGACCCTGATGCTATTCCACCCACATTCTGAGTCGATCATCCACCTTTTTCCTTTTTCTGAACCTCTTCTCATTATTATAACACAAATGGATTTTTCGTTTTGTACAATTAAGCTTCGTTGAGATTTGTTCATCGAATTGATGAAATCTGTTTTAAATATACTACGCTTGTTTATGCGTGGATGTTACAAGCTCTCGGATACAGTACATTAATTCAAAGCAGTGTAATCGTGTGAACAGCGAACATAGTTGGAGTTTGGCTGGCATTTTTCTTGGAAGTGTGTTTAAAGAGCGTTAAACGTCCACTCATTCCACACTTTTGCTGACGAGATGTTCAATTTATTTCTGTTTTTACTCGTACGATATGCGTTATAAACAAGTACAGAAATTATATATAGCAGGCAGCAGCTAGGGATATAGCAGGAGGCAGCTAGAGATATTGCAGACGGTGTGTAGGTATTGATAGGGATACAGCAGCCAGCAGATAGGGATATTGTATGCAGCAGCTAGGGATATTGCAGGCAGCAGTTTTGGAGACTGCGGACGGTATATAGGTATATTAGATGCAGCATCAAGCTGTATATTACTGGCAGCAGCTACGTATATTGCAGGCAGTAGCTAGGGATATATTGCAGGGAAGCATATAGGGATATTGCACGCAGAATCTAGGGAAATTGCAGTAGTTATATAAGTATTTTGCAGGAATGCATAGGAATATCGCAGACATCATCCAGCGATATTGCAGAACACGCCTAGGGATATTGTAGACGTCATCTAGAAATACTCTGCAGACATTATCTAGGGATATTTCTGGCCGCATCTAGGGAAATTGCAGGTAGCAGTTAGGGATATTGCAGGAGTCATCTAGGGATATTGCAGGATGCGTGGGCGAATTTGGCTTCATAAATAAGGAGGCAAAGCTAATGAAGCCGTCCAGGCCTGTGAGTTACTAGACCCCAGCGGTCAGGCGTCTCGTGCAACGTTACTCAGCGCGGGATCGCCCCGAGGGACCTCGACTGAACTGGTACCGTGTTTATGAACTGAAGGAGTGCAGTGGTGTTCACTGATAGAGTGCGAGGTGTTCACTGAAAGAGTGCGAGGATGTTCAGTGAAAAAGTGCGGTAACGTTCAATGAAGGAATGCGGTTGCATTCAGCGAAGGATTGCGATGGCATTCAGTGAAAGAGTGAGAGGATGTTCAGTGAAAGAGTGCGGTAACGTTCAGTGAAGGAATGCGGTTGCGTTCAGCGAAGGATTGCGATGGCGTTCAGTGAAAGAGTGCGAGGATGTTCAGTGAAAGAGTGAGGTAACGTTCAGT